TCTTCACTAAATCGGCCAAGAGAAATTGATGGAAACTATTTTCAAGTTTCTAGGATGTCCGCTAGGGGGCGCAATTACGATGATATAACTAAAAATTCAAATTTTCTCAAGAAATCGCTATATTAAGATACTGTTTTGAAAGCAGAAATCGAAAGTTCATTAATTTTTGCGTCAGTTTGGTCCTTAAGCTTTTTTCGTATCTTTACTAATAAGGATGGGGGAAGCTGGTGAAGAAATATTTTTAAAAATTGCTGTATCTTCTATACCCCTTATCCAAATTCATTCAATTTAGGCTTATTTAAAAGAGAATTTCATTGCTATTAAGAACACCACTTCATTCGGGGTCGATAGTTCCCACCGCGTCTTCTAGAGGGCGCTGTTTAACCAAGATCCAGTTTTTTCAAATTTTCTTAAAAATCCAAATGGCATGATATTATTTTTTTATTGCTGTGCTTGAAGAGCAAAAAAATATCTACATTTTGGCGCAAACCGCAATTCAATATCTGCATTCGTTTTCAAGTTACTTAAGATGGTTTGCATAATATCGTACCTGGCCGACCTTAGTGGGACACCCTGTATATTATGTCGCAAAATAAATTTTTCTTAAAAATTTACGCTGTTAATCTACACATAGGGCCAATACTGTGTATATATATTATTTACATTATTATATACCTTAAAACAAAAAGATAATACTTACATCCAGTTCTCCTTTTGTTTTAATTTTACCAACATACCTATTAAATTATCATTAATTCCTATAATATATGGATAATCCTCTGGCATAATACCACTATTTATTTTTTAACTAATACCTATAGAAAATATACTATGCAAATGCACGTCTTCCAGAATTTTTCTTGTCTGAACAAAATTCGGACACCGACGCCACAGCAGCTAGCAGTGTTTAAAGAGGCAATGTTGTCAACGAAATATATTATTTAGAGAACTCTTAATTTCTATTGGGTGTATAAAAACACAAATTCGTGAGTTTTTTAACTCATAAAATAAGTAAGTATTTTTAGTTTTAAGTTTTCTCTAAGTCTAGACGAATTAACAAGCGAACTAAAATACAGAAAGTTTGCAACATAAAAAACTAATAATAATATATCTATACTACCTAATAAAGGCATTAATTTTAAACATTATGTGAATGCAAATGTGTCTGGGGTAAGTAACGCCCGATAAAGAAACTCTCCGTGGCAATATCGGGTGTTACATTCAAATTTGCGAACGTGAGCCAAATGGGTGTTACTTACCTCCATGCCACCCGGCTCTTCTCATTTTAATGGACTAGCCGAGGCTGGAGTGAAATCATTCAAAAATCATTTTTATCGTGTCTTGGGTTCTCAGATTTTATCCTATGAGGAATTTTACACATTTTTAACCCAGGTGGAAGCTTTATTAAACTCACGACCCTTGTGCAGTATCAGTGCAGATCCAAATGATCTACAACCTCTTACTCCGGGGCATTTTTAAATCTTTGAACCTTTAATAAGCCCATTCGCTACCCCAGATTTAAGTCACTTGAAATTAAGTAGATTGAGTCGTTGGCAACTCATACAGCGACTTCAGAGCGATTTTTGGAAACGTTGGTCGCAAGAATATATACATTCTTTGCAAGAAAGACATAAGTGGTTGGATCAGTCTCCCCCTATCAAGCTAGGAGCCCTTGTTCTAATAAAAAATGAGCAACTCCACCCACTGCATTGGGAGATGGGTCGAGTTATCGATATACATCCAGGACAGGATAATATCATTAGAGTCGTTACTCTGACAACCGCCAAATGTTATGCAACAACCTGTGGTCAAGATTTGCCCTTTACCGAGAAACTAATTTTATTTACAACCACATACGTAATGTTGACATTTCTGACTTTTCAAAAGTTTGAAAGTGACACTTTTTTGAATTTTACTTTCCACCCGGGTGGAAAGTGGTCCCGGGTGGAAAGTGCTCACTTTCCACCCGGGTGGAAAGTAAGTTCTCATTTTTTAAAATGTTTAAGACGAGTCCTGCATGTCAAACGTTTTTTTAAATGAGTCAGAACTTGTCAACAAATTTTTAATTTTTTTTTTAGTATTTAGTCGAAATTATGAGGGTTGTAATTGTTGTAAATAAAATAGTATACAAACCTCGGTAGGAAGTTTCATTCCTGTATCGAGATTATAGTTAACTTCGACGCTTCGCGTCTCAGTTAACTAACTAATCTCTCGACAGTAATGAAACACTTTCCACCTCGGTATGTAATATACTATTTTTTCTTTTTCCTACCTATCTATTTTTAGTTTATTTTTTATGTTTAGTTTTAATGTTTATTATAAGTATCTACCACAAGTAAACCTTATTTCATCTTGTTTTAAAAACATGCGTTTTGGTGGGGTGAATGTTTAGGAAACTCTCAAAAGGGCTTTTTGCCTATTTCAGTTTGTGTAGAGCAATCTACAAAGTTCGATTGTGCATATATTTTTTATTAACGACTTTTCTCGTTTATCATATGCGCACACGTCACTTGCTGAAAGCAGCTATATTTTATGCTGCCTTGTCCGAGATTTTGAAAATAATATATTATCGACTGCAGAGTAGACAACGCACACTCTCGCTAAGCGACCCATACAAATTCGTATCGTATCGGACGGTTCGGTCAATACAACGAAACTGCCCCTATTTTACTGCCCTAAGAAGCTACAAAGTACTCTGCTACAGTCAACACGCTTCAGTTTGGACCAGTACCCAGAGAACCAACAGAAACCCTTTTCAAAAGTAAGTGATCTGTGCGTACCGGGCTCAAACATTTATTTAATTTTCTCTCAAATCATACAGTCCACTAAACAATTTTCATATTTTCCGCAACAGCTATGGAATCAAATCCTGGAAGATGTAGTAGTAGCGATTCCCACAATCATCATCGTTTAAGGTTGGTGATGTTGCACTGGAAATTCTTACACCTTATTGGTTCGATTTGTTCCTCGATTACTGGGAAGTCAGTTAAATTGGAGATTTGGCAGGGGTACTTACCTATCGTTTTTGACCATACTTTTGTGGTTTTGAACGAAAAAAAAAATAAGTTAGGCAATAAATCATTGCGATAATTGAATTCCCATAACGAGTAACGGCATAAGTCGTAGTTGAAATAAATTTGCAGTAAGTATTAGACGAAAAGGCCGAAATTAAAATATTAATTATTTTATAAGGCGTCGCTTATTACCGTCTCATCAAATTCCTATTTGCCTTTGTCCCCTGCAGCGGTAGTCGATATTTCCGGATTATCTCGCAAGAAATAGATCGTCAGTCACTACGTGCCTAATTAATACTTTTATGACAAACCTTTTGTTATCGCGTAGGACCTTGAATGCATTCCGCGTGAAAAACTTTTACTACTGGCCTTTTATCCGGTCGCCGCTTAAATTCCAGTTCGTTCCTAACGATCGGTTATTAAATTAAATTTTTTCGTATCTAATTATAAAGGAGTTTAATTTTTCATAAAGTATGAATAAGAGTAGGTAACTACTTGAATTTCGATCTTCTATTGTCTTCATTTATAAAAGGGCTAGAGCGTTTAATTGGACACAAATATCTTTGACGTTATCAAGTGACTAGAGGGTAGAAAGATGATTAAGATCTTATTCCATTGTAATAATAAAATTTGATGTGGAATATAGAAATAACAATTAGGTTCTAGAAATGTAAATTAATCCATAGTGAAAAATAGTATATTACATACCGAGGTGGGAAGAGTTTCATTACTGTCGAGAGATTAGTTAGTTAACTGAGACGCGAAGCGTCGAAGTTAACTATAATCTCGAGACAGGAATGAAACTTCCTACCGAGGTTTGTATACTATTTTATTTACAAGAATTACAACCCTCATAATTTCGATTAAATACAAAAAAAAATAATAAAAATTTGTTGACAAGTTTTGACTCATTAAAAAAAACGTTTGACATGCAGGACTCGTCTTAAACATTTAAGGAAATGAGAACTTACTTTCCACCCGGGTGGAAAGTGAGCACTTTCCACCCGGGACCACTTTCCACCCGGGTGGAAAGTAAAATTCAAAAAAGTGTCACTTTCAAACTTTTGAAAAGTCAGAAACGTCAACATTACATATGTGGTTGTAAATAAAAATAGTTTCAGTTCTTTCGACTGGTGCAAAATTACAGGAACAATAGATATAATCAAGTGTATAAAGAAAGTTTTCAAATAAGGAAACTTCATTGGATACATCAATAAACCTATATCAAAAAATCTCTCGAGAAGAAGAAGAAGAAAAAACTGTTTCCAATTCCTCAGAACATCTCCCATGATAATATCGATAAGAGGTGATACTTCGCCAAATGATCATATTCGGTCCGGTCCACCAGAGCCAATATGTGATTTCGAGCTGACATTCATACATGGAAAAAGTATCCCAGTATTGGATTCAAAGGTCTTAGAGAGCGATAGCAGTTGGTGAGCAGTGACGAATTGTTTTACACAAAAAAGAATTATATTAGGCTCATTGTCTCTAGACGTTTTTCATAAAAACAAACTTTTGTAAGCCAAAGACTTTCTAAAATATAAATATTTCTTGAAATCTAACCTTCTTATTTATCATTGGTTACCGTGCGGGTTCCAGAAACGTAGTATTTCAGGTTTCTTAAAGTTTGCTAGACTCTATGTTGAATGGATGATGTAAAACTTATTTATTATTTCACTAGGTTCGCCATTAGTACTGTATTTATATGATTTTATTTCCTGTTCAAGTGCTTTGGTTGAGCTTACAAAATCTAGCACTAGCATTGTTTTTAATAAAGCAGTAATAAAGCCAATATATATTACAATTATTCTTTCTCAATTTATATTAACATGACACACACTTTATCTTTCAAAAGCAGCATTTTTTTCTATATGTATAGTTATTTGCCTCTCTAATTTTATAGCTTTTATGAAACAGTCGCAATTCAAATAAAATCCAAACGCCGCTTCAATTTTTTACGATATCGTATATTTTTTGTTTTAGGTGCGTTTTTAATACCATACTCCCTTATGTTAGTGTTCGGAGCCGTGCCACTTTTTTATATGGAATTAATATTAGGACAATTCAATCGGCAGGGACCGGTCAGTTTATGGAGAATATGTCCTTTATTCAAGGGTAAAGTCTTGGTTCTTTTTACAAATTTATGCTTGAATTTTGTTTCTAGGGGTTGGATTCTGCGCAGTTTTGGTAGCATTCTATGTTTCATTCTACTACAATGTAATATTGGGTAAGTTATCTATATTGAGATGAAAATGACAAATATATTTGCGCTTTTAAAAATAAAGGTTATGTTCCGTCCTACAAATCCGACTTCTGATACTTCAGCGGCGGAACCACCGGTTGATGACGATAAGATAATATTACTTTGGCTAACAGTATCTATATATGTAACATCCTTCATAAGCTGACGACCATTTCTCCATAGACCATAAGTCATACCATACCATCCGGCCGTTTTCCATCAATACCTGAGCAAACAGGTAACGATGGTATTCCTGCACTTCTTAAAACATGGTTCAACGGAATGTGACGACTAAGACGACTCGCAGTCATCTTTCCGCAGGATGAACCATGGTTACCCCATTCATCCACCCTGGTTCCACAATGACAATAGTGGGGTTCGCAAAGTTTTGTACCAAGTCAAAGGCCAACAGCAATACGAAAAGTGTCGTTGTCCGAGAGTGTTCGTAAAGTAGCTGTTGGTAGATCATATGAAAATGCCAATACTCAGCAGAACATCCAGCCAATAAACGTGCTTTGTGGAGAGGATTATCTTGAGATCGTGACAACAAATTTTCATAATGTTTTAACACCACAGGATGGTCCCAACTCTTTTGTAGCTTACGTTCAATAAATTCAGGAAGGTCATCAATAGCTTTATCTTTCCAGTCATTCCACAATTCCAAAGCTTCTGCTGAGTACGAAACTGCATTGAAAGATGCTATGTTTCTTGTTAGCATTGATATTCTGGTAGCGTGAATAATTCACATCTTAAAATTTCGTGGTAAATTATGCTGAAAAGTAAATCTGATCTGAAGCAGTAAATAATAGTTTTCTGGACCGGGGGCAATCTGAACGAAATCTTCTTTCTTCTCTTCTTGGAGTGGTTATTGAAAGGTGCTATTAGAGACTCAAAATTAGTATCACTTACCACTTTTCTGCTGAAGCTGCGAACACCTTCTTTAACCGCACAATCCAGCACGTAAGATCTTTCTATGCCACTGCCAGTGTTTTAAGAGTAATTTTGAAACCAGAAAAGAAAAGACTAATTTTAAAAGATTAAAATTAATTTATTTATGAGTAGAAAGAGAATTTAGCGTTAATTATTTAAACATAAAAAAAGGTAAGGTAAAACATAAAAAAACTAAATATTACCTTATTTAATTAATGGACTATAAACAAATTAAACTAAAGAGAAATGAAAGAAAAGAGAGTATTTTCCCAATTAAAAGATTTGATTCCAAATCTGACACTTTAGTGGAATTGAAATTAAAAACAAACTATCACCTCTTTGGAGAGCTTTTAGTAAAAACAGCGGGCGGCAGATGAACTAGAGGATGAGAAACGGATCGAGAACTCGTTGAGATTTTTCGAATTAAATTTTCGGCGATAACTAGTAGTAAAGACTATTGGCGAATTGGCGACAACTGAAGTTAACTGGCCTCAACATCTGCGTGTATGAGCGTAAGAAACCACCCTCTGGGTACCAGTTTAGAAGCCCATTGACTACCCCTTAGTACCGGGCTTGCGAGAATCGTCAAAGTCGAAGATCTCCATCCCTCCTAGCTTTCAGCGATTCGTTTTCTTGTTGTTTTCCCATTGGTTCTCAAATTTATTCAACCTTTCCCATTCAAACTGCTCCACCCTGTGATCCAGTTTGATGGCTCTCCAACAGAGTTTGCTATTTACATGTGGTCAAATTATCATTTGAACATTTAATGTTTTCCCTTTCAATCGAAAACCCTTTCGCTTTCCTTATTACCTATGCTTTCTATTCTTATTTCCTAGTGCCTAGTCGAGTAAATAAAATAAAAGTTCCCTAATTTCTAGCCTAATTATCAAGAGTGTGAAATGAATTAAACTATCCTCTATTAATTTAATAATAAAATAATTGAGTAATCACTCCTACCTTAACCTACCTATATCTTAATTATAACTAAGCATTTGACTATCTTACAGTAAACATTTCACCAAAGTAATACTCTTGATAATTATATTGTTATACAATTTGTTATTGTATCTTAAAAATTTAGCTCATGTAATCATTGTTTTGCTCCACACACACATGCTTCGAATATAATTCTTTCCAGCAACGGTATCAGTTACCTACCTGACATCTGGGTTCGTCATAAAACGTGGGTATTCATAAGATTATCCTTGACTTTGAAAAAATTATAACAACCACATGGGATCTAGAATAGTCTAAAGTTTAGCGTTTATCCAGGAAAACATAAATTTTGCCTATATATTTGTCAATTTCGGATTAAGCAAAATAATCTTGAAGCTATAAAATTCGATACTTTTTTGGCTCTCAAGTGATTTTTACCAGATTAGGTCGTTCGCAGAACTCCATGTGTTTGTAAATCCCATTAGGGTCACATTTTAACTTTTAACTATCTAAAACTTTTTTCCCACGAAAGATGAACTTGGATCGAGATTATGAATTTGCTATTGATTTTGTTACACATGTACTGATGCCAAAAAGGCAGGAACAGCTAGTTCTTCCGCGAAACGTATTCCCAAACCAGCCAACTTGTGCCGTAATGCAAGGTGCGGCTTCTTCAGTCAAAAGACTACGTAGCAGTGACAAATCTTCCTTTGTAATAAATTTTGGCTCTGCCAAAAAAACCTTCCAATTCTTCTTCGATTCAACGACGCCGACGATTCAAAGAAGAACCACCTTAGATAAAAGCTTCTCATCTTCCCCAATCTAATTCCAAGCCATATTCGTCCTTTGCTGTGACAATAGTTTGAATATCTTGAAGAACGGTATCTGGAGGAATATCTTGAAGAACGGTATCTGGAGCTCCACCCAATACAGCATCGTCCAATTTCCATAAAACCAGAGGAGAATTTAATCGTTGCGTTAAAAATGCTATAGCATTGGAGAAGACTAGCGGTTCAAATGGATCACCTTGTTGAAGTCCCCAAGCAGAATCTATGGTGTGTTCAAGGTATCTCAATTGAGAAGGGTAGCGATATTTTTTTCAGAGAAATTGATAATACTCAGGAATGAATTCCTGTGCCATTCTCAGGAATTGAGGTCTGTTGACACAGTTTAAAGCATTCGAGAAATCTAGTTCCAAAAAAAAATACGACATTCCACGTTATCTCTCTCATTTATAAAAGAACGCGCCGTATGAACCATAGCCTCAGCACCACCTCTGCTGCCATAGCCCAATTGAAAGGGGCGAAGTTTTGATCTAACTGAGCATTGAGCGAGATTGCTGACTTTACCAGCAATTCTTCTTATAGTATTTCCGATTGCTATTGGCCTAATTCCACCATCTTTTTTCATAAGATCGTATATTGAAGCTCGGTAGAGTAGGCTACAAATACTGTCACAAACTTTTCCTCGGATTATCAAATCGACGATACCACCAATAGCGGATAACAAGTGCGCAAACGAGTTGTTATTACCATTCAAAGTCAAGTCTATTATATATTGAGGCCGTAAACCATGAAAAGCACCAGCAGAACCATGTTTAAATGTATAAATTGCAAGACGAATCTCGTCATTATTGACAGAATTAGGAAACTTGACTGTTGTCATTTCTAACGAGAATAAAGCACCATCTGGTTCAGCAGGATGTATTGCACGTAGCTTTTCCAGTGTAGAAATAGTACTAGGTGAAATGGAGTCTTGAGAAGAGAGAACCAGTATAGCACCTGTAATGTCACCATCGACTAGTTTGGCACCGACTCTGCATTTCAATGCATAGTATATGATTCTGCAGACGACCGAAAAGCAACATTTTCTGACATAAAATGCGCACCACTCCCAGAATTACCAGGAGAATAACTGGCTAGCCCCTTCTTCACTAAAACTGATAATGATTCATTTCCTATTTTATTGTGCGGCAAACTAAGTACCTACATCACAAGGAAAAGAAAAATTTGTAGGTATACCAAGACTCCTCATTATTGGTTTTGAAACAATTCTCCAGAATAACTGCCAATGCTTCGGCTACTTGAGGATGAACACAACGCGAAATACGTCTCATAATTCCTATATTACCATGAGATGATATAGAATGTGACCTATTCTAGGCAGCTTCAGTATTAGAGCAAGTTGGTTGTGATTTTGTGGGATCAGGGATCAATATTTTCACTATCTCTATTGACGTCCCCTCTCTATTGATTTCAAAGAGAGAAGACAGCGAGTGCGATAGGGATAGGGATAACGATCTTCTATCCGTTACAGAATCCCGCTGCAGATCTTAAAAGCGCTGCTGTTTGTCTGATTAATTTCTCACTATTTCGATATTTTACCATATTACTTGATCTTATAAATACTTGTCCAGTTGGTTGTAATCCGGGTTTCAGTATCCAGTTAGAAAAAATATCTAGGGTATCTGATGTTCCCAATCTCCATGGTGAATTTTATTCTTCCATTGATTGAGTTGATATGGATCATCAAGGTATCTCACTTTTCACGAATTTGTCTTCCATGTATCCAGACCAGTTATTCAGCAAGGCAAGGTCTTCAAACTTTCCTGAGATAACTGGCGACTATGGAAGTTGAGAATAACCTAGCGCCATTGAAACTCCATAAATTTGTTCATAAATTTTCTCATCACACTGGAGTCAGACAACGTTCAAAACACAAGTAATGGGACAAAATGTTCCAGTAGAGGTTTTCACATAGGTATAGGTACAAAATATGAACCGAGTCGAAAAGAACCATGCCGGTCATTCGATAAAACAGAAGACTCCACTCCACGACAAAAACAAAAGAACAACCGTATTGTTTGTCACAAAAGACAGATCAATAAGTTCCGAGCCTCAACCTGTGATAAAAAAAGGGCTTCAGAAGTGAAACAGCCACCTCACAAAAAAAAAATCGAAGAACGTCAAGCGAGAAGTGGATAACTTAGAGAAGAATCTACAATAATTTTATTGTTTTTCATTCGTCAATTAATTTCCATTAGGTATTCGCTACTTTGCTAGTTTATTGTTCATAATATTATATTTTCTTTGTTTTCCATTTTCAATTGATTTCTCGTT